TATTCAGAGTGTACAGTTCCCAGTAGTCTTGAGTGACTGCTCCAGGGAGGCCTGGCGTTACCATTTTTCCTTTTCCCTTTCCATGTATTTACCACTTTAAGTTTGCAGTTTTTTATAATTTCAGTTACCACCTAGATAATGAACCCTCTCTAACCCCAGCCTGTCTATTGAGATCCACATATGTGGCTTCCCTCCCTGCAGGTGGCTTCCCTAGACTTACTGTCTTTCATATTTCACATTGCTAAAACAAGTGCATCATTTCCTCCTTCAGCTCTATTCCCATTGCTGACTTTGTTATTTTATAAGGAAAGGCTTCTTTCTCCCACTTTCCTTAACTAAGCAGATATCAAAATATCAGAGCCTATAAGTAGCCAGGTACTTGTAGACTTGCTTCTGCTTCCTCATTGCTATTGTGTACATTTTTGACACATGCCATCTTTCATTCATTCATTTATTTATTTATTTACTTATTTATTTATTTATTTATTTATTTAGAGATATGGTTTCATCATATATTCATGCTGGCCTTAGATTCTCATTCTTCTTGCCTCAATTTTTTTGAGTGTTTGGATTATAGGCATGAAGTACTACATGTCTGTGATATCTGGTAAATTCTGCCTATCTGTGAGGCACCTACCTTGCCCGCATCCCCCCACTAATTTTCTGCTGTGTTTATAGTATCATGTGTTATCTTGCTCCACATTTTTCTATTTCTCAAACATGACAATAAACAGAATTTAACTTTGTAATCTGGTTTCTGCCTGCATGTTTGCTCGTACTCAGTTCCTGGCATTTTCATTTCATAACCCAAATCCCAGAAGTACTTTAAGATTTTTAAAATATAGTGTATATTTCATTGTATAATGTATATGGTAAAGACTGTTGTGGTTGTTCGAAGAAAATGGCTGTCATAGGCTTATAGGGGTGGCACTATGGAGATACGGCCTTGTTGGAGTAGCATCCTCCATTGGATTGGCTTGTGAGCATATTTTCAGGGACAGATTCTTGATTGTAATTGATATAGGTGGGCCTAGCTCACTATCAGCTGTGTTATACCTAGTGGGTAGACCTGGGCTGATAAGAAAGTTATCTGGGGCCAGGCATGGTGGCACACACATTGAATACCAACACTTGGGAGGCAGAGGCAGGCGGATCTCTGAATTTGGGGCCACCATGGTCTACAGAGTCTAAGACTGCCAAGACTCTGTTACACAGAGAAACACTCTCTTGAACCCTCCCCCCCAAAAAAAAATGTTATCTAAGCAAGCCAGAGGACCCAACCCAGCAAACAGTGTTCCTCTGTGGTTCTGCTTCGATTCTTGTCCCAAGGTTACTTTATGAGTGAGTTCCTTGGCTGACTTCTTTCAGTGATGGACCTGGAAGTGTAAGCCAAATAAACCTTTCCTCCTCAGGTTGGTTTTGGTCAGTGTTTTATCCTAGCAAGAGACAGCAAAAGTAGAACATCTGGTAAAGCCATTAAGTGGGGGTGGGGAGCCTTCTAGATTATATCATTAAGATCTACTAGCCATTATGATCCAGATCTGCTTTCTGAACTGTCTGTATCTGACATGAGATACATATTAGAGTAATACACAAAAATTAAAATAGTCAAGAATACTCTCTGGACTAATGGAATGAAGTTAACAGAAGAAGGAAATAGGCAACAACCAACCAAAATTTACACATAAAAAAAAAAAACCCAAATCTTTGAGGATTCCATAGACCTTTTTACAGTGAAATATATGTATATATACATGTATGTATACATGTACAACATTGTATATAGGTATATATACATATATATGTGCATATATATATAAGACACTATATATGTATATATTCTTTTGAGACAGGGTTTCTCTGTGTAGCCTTGGTTGTCCTGGACTCACTTTGTAGACCAGGCTAGCCTTGAACTTAGAGAAATCCAACTGCCTCTGCCTCCTCTATTATAGGCATGTGACCAACTAGTGTTATATTTTAACTTTTTTTTTTTTTTTTGTTTAACAATCAGCAGATACATTGTAATTTAATTGGTTGGACCTAGTTCATTTTTTTTCTTTTTTTTTGTTTTTCTTAGGAAAGAGTTCATTATTAGGTGTTTTTTTTTTGTTGTTGTTTTGTTTTTGTTTTGTGTTTTTTTTTTCCCCCTGGGCTATAATAATTTTGATTTAAAATATAGTACTCCCTGGGTCTGGAGAGATGGCTCCATGGTTAGGAGCACTGTTTGCTCTTCCAAAAGATCTGGGTTCAATTCCCAGCACTCACATGGCAGCTTACAACTGTCTGTAATGCCAATTCTAAGGAATTTGTCACCTTCACACAGATGTACATATAATAAAATTAAATTATTAAAATATATTTGTGTGAGATATACACACACACATACATATATTACTCCCAGCAAGGCAGTATGGCACATGCCTTTAATCCTAGCACTGGGGAGGCAGAGGTAAGTGGATTTCTGTGAGTTTGAGGCCAGCCTGGTCTACAAATTGAGTTTCAGGACAGCTAGAGTTATCCCCCCACACACACAAAAAAAAAAAACCTTGTCTTGAAAAATCAAACCAAACCATATTCATTGCCTGTTTTCTTCTTCTTTTTTTTTTAGATTTATTTATTATTTATACAACATTCTGCCTGTACACCAGATCTTAAACTCTGAGCCATCTATCCAGCCCAGATTGCCTGTTTTCTTAACCAGTTTAATTATTTGTTACAGATTTGAGTCCTAATAGACACTTTGAAATTGTTTTTGTTAAAGCAAAAATATTCTCAGTAGGTTTTATGAGGCATCTAAAGCAAGATAAAATCTGGCTTTTTTTGTCTTTATTTCTTTTGAGACATCTGTTTATCTTAGTACCAATCAGCACTGTAGGTGTTTGTGGAGATGAAATTCAGAGCAGACCATTTAACAACCTTTGGTTATGAAAAGCAAACAAAAGCTGAGGACCATGTCTCATGACATTTTTCTATTTTCCCCCTCTGATAATGAGTTGTGTTGAGTGAGATACCATCGATAGGGACCCTCAAAGCCCCTTAGCATACTGAATAGGCCTTGCTACCCCATTCATATGGCTTTCGGCCTGGGAAGGACACCCATGTGGACTGTGATGTGGTTTTTCTCAGCATCCTCTCCCCACAAGGCACTTTGGTTCAGGTGCCAGTTGTGCTGCCTCTGCCACTCTCAAGTGTGGGGTTCTCAGTCTTCCAGCTTCTGCTCTTTCTAGTTATTGTCATTGTCCTTAGAGCCCTGCTGAATTCTTACTTCTTTCTGTCCCTAAAACCCAGCCAAGCAACAACAGCTCCTCTGTTTACAGACCCTGACTGTTTCCAAAGCTACCCTTGTACACTGGAACTTTTTTTTTTTTTTGGTCTGCCTCTGGGCTTAGCATATTTCTAGAGGCATGAGGGCCTTAGTAGGTTCTTTGAACTATCAGGATATGTAGAAACAGAGGTCTACATATGGTTTAAAATGTGACAAACCATACTTTAAACCATACTTTAAACCAAAGTAATGCTTAGTGGTTTAAAGAAACTTAACCCAGGTTTTATTCACCATTTGGGTGTAGTCCCAAGCCATCTGCAGTAACCTTCCAGTCCCCGTAGGGACTCATTTCCTGGAGTCAGCCTGATAGCAGGTAGATGGCTCCTAGAGCCTAGAGCCTCTTGGTTAGATACCTCTCTCTTGTCCCTGAGAAGTCTGCATGAATAGAGTAGCAAAATGTTTATCCCCAAAGGATTAAGACCGTGTCCTAAAGGTAGCATGCCTGCCTTTATTCTTCATATGAAAGGGGCCTGTGATCAGAACAAAGTTGTCTGTGCTTTGGGAAGGGCTGTTTGAGATGGAAGGGCTGATGAAGAACTTTAAAGGAAATACTCATTGTTAACATGGAATTTAAAGAGCCTTTATTTTTTTATTCATTTCTTAAGACAAAGTCCTGAAATTGCTTTGTAGGGAAGGATGATGACCTTGTACTTCTGATGGTCCTGCCTCTACCTTCCTCTGTCTTTCAAGACAGCGATTTGCCATGTAGACCAGACTGACCTTGAACTCATGGTAATTTTCCTGCCTCTGCCCCTTATGTTCTGGGATTATGCCCATGCCAGCATTCCTTGTGCCCCTTTCATTCTGTGGGTGAGGCAGATGCATATGCATTATACTAGACTGGAGGTGTACATGAACAGTAGGCAGTTGAAGGTGTTAGCTGACCAGTCTGTTAGCCATTGTTGAACATACTTGATTAGGAATGAAAACTGGTTCAGTAGAAGTAGAGTTAGTGATTAGAAGCTGCCTGTTTAACATACGGAGTATTACTTGATCCTCCCAACCCCAGGAGATTCTGAAGGACAGTACAGACTCTGGGTCTAGTAAGGCCTTTTGTTGTGGAAAGTTGAAGGAATAAAAGCTGAGTACTTTACCAGTTCCATGCATAGTTAATTTTCCTTCAATATATATATATATATATATATATATTGCAGGAAAGCTAACTGAACAATTGAATCAGAGTCTTACATGAGTCTTACATATGATGTTGTGTTTCAGCCTGAGGAGAAATAAAAACTCTAAAGGAGTTGTCAGCATAGGGAGGCTGATTCAGTTCTGAGGTGATTGTTCCGCTGCTTGTGCTTGTTGGTCTGAGAACCCCAGGAGACTGTGGGGACGGATGTTCTACAGGACAAGCTGCCAGAGCTTTTTGCTGTTAGGAGTACTAACTTGTTTTTTGGTTTGTTTGTTTGTTTGTTTGTTTGTTTAGAACAGGTATAATTTTGTGACATTAACTTGAATAGTAAGAAATTTATTTAGAGAAGATAGGAACATATTCTGCAACTGTGCTATTGAAGTGTTGGAGTAGTGTAGGTGAAAGGCATGGTAACCATCTGGGGAAGAAAGGCAGATGACAGTGTAGACAAGTTTGGAGAGAAACAGATTAAGAGGTGAAAGAAGGTAACATAATTATTTAATCTATTTTCTCAGTAATGATACACATTTTCTGTTATAGATGAATTTGCAACTGGTTTTCTGGATTGGATTGATCAGCTTGATTTGTTCTGTATTTGGCCAAACAGGTAAAAAAAAAAAATCTTGTTACCTTTTTATTTCCTCATCTTATATCAATAGTCTTTGGTTAGTTAGACGAGGCAGGGAACCCCCCCCCAAAAAAAAAAATGCTCCATTTGATCACTATTCCATCTGAAATTCTGTAGCACTGTGAATGAGAAGCAGAGGTTTCCAAGGGGCCTCCAAGGGTCTTCACCATCAGTTTATCTCTGACATTACATAGACCACACAAAAACACGTGGAGAATGTGAGAGTACTGGAGGGACCACAACAATGGCAGAGGCATGTAATATACTCAGAAGCAAATAAAATAAACATGTACTTTGGTGGATTATGAAGGTATATCCATTGGAATCTAAAAATTGAAAGTGGGCTGGGCATGGTGTCACGAGTCTGTAATCCCAGCACTTGGGAGGCAGAGATAGTTAGGAGGATCTTGAATTTTAGGTTAGCCTGGGCTAGACACAGCTGTCCCCCACCCCACCAAATTTACAGAATTTCAGAGGGTTGGAGATAGTTCAGTCAAAACTCTGGGTTCTGAGCAGGCAAAAACCAAAAGAAAACCTCGAAGTTTCCTTTCTAGAAGAAACTCTTGTTTTTTGATTATGAAGTCTTTATAGTGTTAGCATATTTATAACAGCAGGGAGCAAACTGAAGATGGTTTATATTTCTCTGGCAACCGTGACCATCTTACATTTGGAATAATGGATACCTGGTTCTACTGTCTAAATCTCAAAAAAGCATAGTAAATAGAATAATTAGAATTATCTGACCTCAGACATGTGAAAATGATGAAAGATACTGACTAGGAAACTTGATACACCTGATACATAAAAATCTGCAGCCACCCAGAACCTGTGTCTCAAAGACTACACCTTTGGAGTAGCCTAGTGTAGCTTAGTAACCAGGCTGGAATGTTCATATTTAACATGTGTTTATCTGCATATCACTTGTCTCTGTCATTGTGATTTATTTATTTTTTCTTTGAAACTTAACTTATCTTTTTTTTTAACAGATAAAAATAGATGTTTAAAAGCAAACGCCAAATCTTGTGGAGAATGTATACAAGCAGGGCCAAATTGTGGGTGGTGTACAAATACGGTAAGATTTCTGATTCTGTTCCATTTACTCTCTGGTCTTTGAGCCTTACTTAGAGCCTCATCCTTGCGAAGGACCAGATAAGATATACCATCTGAAGCTGGGCACAGGGCCACACGCCTCAAACCCAGCACGCAGAGGCAGGTAGATTTCAGTGAGTTCGAGGACAGCCTGGTTGACAAAGCGTTGTCCAGGACAGCTAAGGCTACACAGAGGGGGAAAAAAAAAAAGATACAGTATTTGGATCAGTATTTATTGACTAATATGTGGTGGTCAACATTGTGGTGTTTGACATAGTACATGTCTTAGTTACTTTTCTATTGCTGTGACAAAGCACCATTAGCCAGGCAACTTATAAAGTAAGTGAACACACAAACCCATGTAATTTGGGGCTCATAGCAGAGTGTTAGTCCATGACCGTCATGGCAGTGAGCATAGCAGCAGGCAGGCAGGAATGGCACTGGATCAGTAGCTAAGAGCTTACATCCTGATCCACAGTATGAGGCAGAGAGAGCTAACTGGGAGAGGTGTACACTTTTGAAACCTTAAAGCCTACCCCCAGTGGAAGGAAATAAAAGCAAATTAGAGTTCCAAATTTGCATAAAGATTTATACACTTTGCCTGACGTGTTCCCTTATACAAAGCTTACTAAAAGTGCAGTGAGTTAATTTGAGGTTATGTTAGGTCAAAGGTTCATTGTATATTTCCTCATTTAGGTGTTTGGGCCTAAATTGTAGGATGTCATATATAACAGGATCTGATGAAAGAGTTTTAGAGTTTTCTTTTTATGGTACTGTCCCCCTACAAATGTTGCGCTTCGGTGAAACTGGGAACATTTAGGAAAGGCTGGTGGAAGCTCTTACCTTCCTTCTCCGGAAAGTGAGGAACCAGTTGTTGCAGTTAGAAATGGTGGATTAAAAGAGAGGGGTTCACTCCAGAGGGTCTATTTATCTGGCAGCTGCTGGCATCCACTTTATGGGCCCATAATTTATCTGTAGTTGAAATTTACCTAGTCAGAGCTGAATACTTGAACTTCTGAAGTCTGGGGCCTAGCTTCTTAGTTAGTAAAGGTTCTTGTGGAATGTGTTCGGTGGAATTTTATTTAGGTGTTATGAAGCACCTTGGATTGGTTAAATATTGTGGAATGAGGCAGGTGTGATGTTGCACATCTTTATCCAGGCACTCATGAGGCAGAGGCAAATCTATTTCTGTGAGTTCAAGTCTAGTCTGGTCTACAAAGCAAGTTCTAGGACAGCCAGGGCTACACAGAGAAACTGTTTTGAAGAAAAACAAAACAAAACAACAAAATGGAAATGGAGAATTCCTTAGAAGCTTGTGCTTTGTTGGATTTTGAGGTTTGATAGTAAATAAACCTATTTCAGTTTTGACTCCTGACCCTGGTCATTTTTTCCAGTTGTCTCTATAATTGTGTAAATGTTCTTGCCATGTTACATTTGCCTAAATACTTTGACAGCCAGTCTATTTTTAGTCTTTAGCCGTACATGTGCACATTCATGTGTGTGTGCTGGAGGTGAGAGCAGACAGCAGCGTGTCTTCTCTTGTTGCTTTCCAACTTATTTTTGGTGACAGGATCTCTCACTGAACCTGGAGCCTGCTGTTTCAGCTAGATGGGCTGGATACTGGGTCCTAGACAGGGGCTCTGAGAACCACTGTTTCCCTCCTCAGTTATTGGGGACCAGGGTTACATATGTTCACTGCCATGTGCGACTTTTATGTGGATGCTAGGGATCAGTTCTAAGGTCCTCACATTTGCATATCTGGCATGTTACCCAGTAAGCCATTTTCCCAGTAAGCCATTTCCCCAGTCCCCACCTTGTTTTTTTTTTTTGTGTGTGTGTATTTGTTTATAGAGTATTAAGACCTTTAAAAAAGTTGAAGATAAAATATGAAATCTGGGGCCTGGAGAGAGCTGTGGAGAAGAGCCCTGTCTGTTCTTCCAGTAAACCCAGGCTCTATTCTCAGCACCCACATGGTAGCTTACAGTCGTCAGTCTCAGGGGATCTGATGCCTCTTCTGGCCTCTGTGGGCACTGCATACATGTGATGAGATGCCCACACAGGCAAAACACCCAAACAAATAAATAAAAATCAAGAGAAAATTAAGAAAGACAATAAAAAGAAAATCACATTTAGTAGCAAGCATTTAATACAATCTTCAGCCAGGCAGTAGAGACACATACCTTTAATCTCAGCACGAAAGAGGCAGAGACAAGCAGCTCTCTGAGTTTTTTGAGGATAGACTGGTCAATAGAGTGAGTTTTAGGACAGCCAGGGCTACACAGAGAAACCTTGTCTCAAAAAAAATTTTAGTCAGGAAAATTTATGCTGTATTTCCTACACACATACACACCATTATTAATTGGGATATATTTAGGCTAATGTGCTTTTCCTAAACATCTAGTTGTTTAAAATGCTCTGCTGGGAAGGGTGTTGTGTAATATGAAAAAAAAAAATCTAAGAACTTTTTCTTTCTTCCTTCCTTCCTTCCTTCCTTCCTTCCTTCCTTCCTTCCTTCCTTCCTTTCTTTCTTTCTTTTTTTTTTTTGTTTTTCAAGATAGGGTTTCTCATTGTAGTCCTGGCTATAACTCACTCTACAGACCAAGCTGGTCTCGAACTCACAGAGATCCATCTGCCTCCCCAACTGCTAAGATTGCAGGCGTGTACCACCACATGAGGCTAAGGACTTTTCTAAGGGAAAGTTTTAGAAAAAGCACTGTCTGATGTGTAGACTTACCTATAATTTCGGGCTGCCAAGCATGCCAAGAACTGAAGGATATAGTTAGTGATGACACGCTGAACTTGAAAGGTAGGACTTGTAAAATATAGTCTTCGGGAAAGGTAGTACCTTTCTCTATTGGTTTTACTTGGTTTTATATAAGAACACAGTGATGTGGATTTTGTTAAGTTTAAAATGAACTACCTTAGGGTAAGCCATTTGATTTTTGTAATCTGTTTACGTGCAGTAAAATCATATCAAAATGCTTGCTACACTTTTTTTTTTTTTATTGATGTCAGTGTTTTATGTATCATTTAGACATTTTTACAAGAAGGAATGCCAACCTCTGCGCGATGTGATGATTTGGAAGCTTTAAAAAAGAAGGGTTGCCAGCCAAGTGACATAGAAAATCCCAGAGGCTCCCAGACTATAAAAAAAAATAAAAATGTCACCAATCGCAGCAAAGGCATGGCAGAGAAGCTCCGGCCAGAAGACATTACTCAGATCCAACCACAACAGCTGCTTCTGAAGCTGCGATCAGGTACTTCCATTCCCACTTGAGTTTTCCATAGCAACCTTTATACAAGCCTTTCTTCAGTCTTTTGATGGTTCATTTTTAGAGGTGAACCAAAGATAGAGTATAAGTTAAATTTTAGCAGGTATAACCTCTGTTTTTGTTTTTTGAGACAGGGATTCTCTGTGTAGCCCTGGCTGTCCAGGAACTTACTCACTCTATAGACCAGGCAGGCTTCAAACTCAAGAGTTCTGCCTGCTTCTGCGCTCCCCAAGTGCTGGGATTAAAGGCATGTGCCACCACTCCTGGCCTTAATTTTTATAACACGTACACTTTCAGTAATTTAAATCTTTCTTGCCAGAAAGCAAATAAAAATCCTGTTAAAGATTCAGAAAATACCAATAAAAATCACTAAGTCTGAAAAATAATAGTGTCCATCTGTTACTATAATATAAAAGCAAAGTTTTAATTCATGGATTTGTTTAGTGCCATTTAAATACTAATGCTTTTTTAAAGAGTACTCATGGCCGTTCCACCCCTGACAACATGCCCTTTGTCTGCCTGTCATTCTTCCATCCTTCTCTTACTGCTGCCTGGCTAAACTTCAGCCTAGGAAGTAGATATTATTGTAGTTTGAATGTGAAAATCCTGTATGTGAACATTTGTTCCCTGGCTTGTAGTGCTGTTTTAGGAAGCTGTGGAGCTTTCAGCTGGTGGAGCTTGGCTGGCAGAGTGGGTCACTGGGAGTGCTTCTGTGCCTCCCTGAAACTGAGCCAAAATAAGTCTTCCTTCTCCTATGTCTTTGTATCAGGAAAAGTATTTAGTACAGACTTCTACTTTTCTAGGGGAGTACCACTATTATCTTGGAGCTACAGACCTACCGGATCCTTATCAGGACATTAATTAGTTGTCTAAATTGCATTTTCTTTTAATCATCATTACTTTTAAATATGTTTTTAGGTTACTTATTGTGTGTGTTGCTTGTATGAATATTTTTGTGCACCATACATGTGCCTGGTGCCTACAGGGGTCAGAAGTCATCAGATTGCTTGGAACTGATGTTGAGGATGTTTATAAGCTACCATATGAGTGCTAGGAAACAAACCTGGGTCCTCTTTGAGGCATCTCTGGCCCAAATCATTACTACCACTATTGGGTACTTACAAGAGGCTCTCTTGAACTCAGGAGTGTATGATGTCACTCTGGTATTTCTCACTTCCTTTCACTGCTTCCAGTTTCCTTTTTGTGTTTTCTTCCCTTTATCCCTCTGCATTTCCCTTAAGAGTCGGTTTTCCTTTTTCTTCTGCAACAGCGTAGGCTTTTTTTAGTTCCACTTTTTTTAGTTCCACTCACTTCCATGTCAGCCAGGTGGTTTTGAAGAAAAGACTAATATTTTTTCATCCAAACCTTCATTTTCTTCCATGTTTGTAAGTGTTTTATTTTGTGGTACAGGAGATAGAATTTAGGATTTCTCATGTGCTGGGTGAGATGTACTACCACTAAGCTGCTTTCCAGCTCTGCTTTGTAAGTAAATAACATGTAACCACTTTTACCTCTCACTGTCCTCATTTTTCAGTTCAGGCTTTACCTCTATTTTTACAACTCTATTTTTTCGTTTTGTTTTGTTTTGTTTTTACAACTCTAAAGTAAAACTTGATTGTTACTCACCTACGTGTAGCAGACTTTTTTTTTTTTTTTTTTTTTTACACAGAGAACATTTCACTTCTAACTTTAATCTCTACCTGTCTGTTGAACTCTATAGTGTGCCTTGCTTTCATTCTGCCAAAACTTACGGTGTTCTGTTTTCCTCACAAATTTTTGTGTAAATCAGCTTGCGATTATAGTAAGAACTACTTGAAATAACTTAGAAGAAGAAAGAACTTATTTTGGCCTATTCTTTTACAATTTTCCTGGCAGAATCGCTTGCTGCTCTGAGTTTTTGGTGAGGTGAAATTTCATAATGGGGCAACTAGGAGATGGTAGCCTAAGCCTGCTATTGGTCTTTATCTCTCAAACATTCCACTGGCTTCTGATAGTGCTAACACATGGCCAGATCCAAACTGTAGCAGAATTGTGTGTATCTTGTGGGATACTGGTAGGGTGTATTGCCTTTATCGTTTTGCCTGTCTGTGTCTTGATGTTATAAATAGTTTGTTAAACGAAACTATCAAGTGTGTGCCTGTTGAATCTCTAACAAAATTCTTAGGTTTGGTAAAATTACACACTTAAGACGATAGCATTGAACATGTAAATTGAACTTATTTATTTTTTCCATTTCATTCTGATTACTGGCCTGATTTCAGTTTTGAATCTATTTAATTAGGAGAACCACAGAAGTTTACATTAAAATTCAAGAGGGCTGAAGACTACCCTATTGACCTGTACTACCTTATGGATCTCTCCTACTCTATGAAAGATGATCTGGAGAATGTGAAGAGTCTTGGGACAGATCTGATGAATGAAATGAGGAGGATTACTTCAGACTTCCGCATTGGTAGGAATGTTGGAAACATAGTTTTCATTTGTGTGCATGCTTGTGTTTGTCTGTGTGTGCTGGAATGCAGAGGTGTGTGGCCACACCTGGCCTTTTACCTGGCTGCTAGGATCCAAATTCATCCTTAGGCTTGTGCAGCAAGAGCTCTTGTCCACTGTGCAGTCTGTACATCCTTTATACTGTGCTTTAGAAAATGATGTACATTTAGAGTTGGTGAGATGGTTCAGTAGATAAAGGTCCCTGCCTCCAAGCCTGATGACTGAGTTCAGTCTCTAAAATGAGCCCCTGCAAGTTGTTCTCTGACCTCCAGGCATGCATTGTGGTATATGCGTGTACACCTTCCCCCCTAAATAAGCATCCATTTAAAAGTGATGTAAGTTTGTTGGTCTCTGCCCACTCATCTATCCAATTGCATTTTTTTTTTTTTTTAATTCAGGCTTTGGCTCATTTGTGGAGAAAACTGTGATGCCGTACATTAGTACAACCCCAGCAAAGCTCAGAAACCCTTGTACAAGTGAACAAAACTGCACCAGCCCATTTAGCTACAAAAATGTTCTCAGTCTTACTGACAGAGGAGAGTTTTTCAATGAACTTGTTGGTCAGCAGCGCATATCTGGAAACTTGGACTCTCCAGAAGGTGGATTTGATGCAATCATGCAGGTTGCAGTTTGTGGAGTAAGTTATTTCTACAGAGGACTGATAGCATTGTCTGTGGGGATTTATTTTAAGTGTGTGTGTGCTTTATTTATACTAAAAGTTAGATCCAAATGACCTTAGCTACTATAAGATTTCCTCTTGAGGAATACTGATACTAGTCTTCTAAGTTCCCACCTATCACTGCTGCTTTCCCAAGTATCTCTAATCACTGCATCACTATTTGAGCCAGGTAAAGAATTCACTCAGGTAAAGGAGTTTGGGAGGCCGGTGTCCTAGTCATTTGAAGCAGCAGAGCGTAGACTTTAGCTAGCTTGGGTTTTGGAAGAAGCTGAGGGGCCTAACTTTGTGGCTGGAGATGTAATGATGTTGTCTGAGCTGTCACCAGGAACTCTGAACATGTCATGTGGAATAGTGTCATACCTTGTTCCCGAGGACAGTTTTCCGCTCTGCTCATTGCCTTTGACACGTGTCTTCATCTTCTGTCTTAATAATAAAGGGAAAGAACTTTTAAAGGCTTGATTAATGAGCCATATGACAACTTAGGTTTGTAATAAAAGTAGTAATACAGTATCTGTGGCTTAATTGTAAGGTTTTCAGGGAGAGTAAGCCGGATTCTGTTGCACTAGGGACCAGCGCTTATGATCCATGGGTATTTCTGATTGATTTCTTTCCTATTTGTTTATTTATCCATCTATTTATTTATTTGTTTTGCTCTTTTGAGATACAGTGTTGTGGTGTAGCCCAGGCTATCCTTGTTCTTGTAGAGATGTTTTTGCCTCCACCTCCTGGGATTGCAGGTATGCTCCATTATACCAGACCCTACATGATCTTTTAATAAAAACTGAGGCTGAGAGTGGAAAACATTGTTAGGTCAATGAAGCTTGTATGGAGTACCTTATTGTAGTAAGGGGAAGATGTAGATCTCCAATATACTAAGTAAAGCATTGTGGTAGTGTGGAGGAAGGATTTTTCTGTCCTCCCTGCTCCTAGGCAGTTGACTTGGAGCTCCAGGGAATACCTCATAGGACAGTGGGAAGGTGTCGTTGCCGTGGTCTATATGATGTACACATAGACAGCACATTCTGACTACTGTCCTTACTTTTGACTTGCCAGTGAAGTGCTCGTAATTAAAAAAATAGTATTCCGGGTATTTGCTGGCCGTAGCCTTCCTTATTCTCTGACCCCCTTGTCCCCATCACTGGAGAATGTTTTCTTGGCTTCTTCTGCTTTAACCAGCAGGATCAAACCAGTTCACCCCCCAGGCTGTGGCTGTCTTTCTGATTTTGTCATACTTTAGAGGCAAAGGAGCAGGTAACCTGCCTTTGAAAAATGATTAGAATCAAGAAACTCAATTTTTTTTTAAAGATTTATTTTATTTATTACAGTGTTCTGCCTGGATGTATGCCTGCTTGCCAGAAGAGGGCACCAGATCTCATTATACATGGTTGTGAGCCACCATATAGTTGCTGGGAATTGAACTCAGGACCTCTGGGAGAAGAGCCAGTGCTCTTAACCTGTGAGCCATTTCTGCAGCCCCAAAAAACATAGTTTCTACCTTCAAGGAATTTACAGAAATATGTTGAGTCAATTTAAATTTAGGGGAAAAAATTATATAATAGAAGGGATTTTCATGTTACTTAAATTCTTTGTTGAATAAGCTAGTGAAATTGTACAAATGAACTGATTTCATGAGCTAATAGAAAGGGATATAAAGTAGGGTAAGTTTTTTGACAGTTTTTCCTACAGTAAGAAAATGAAGCTAGGTATAGTGGCACATGTCACTAATCCTAACATTTAGGAGTTAGAGGCAGGAGGATTAAAAGTTCAAGGCCATCTTTGGCTACATAGTAAGTTTAAGGCTTGTATGGATTGCATGAAAGCATGTTTCAAGAAAGTAAAGCCTAGCAGCCTAGCACAAAGGAGAGATACGATAAAGGAGGTATATGATATAGCAGGGGTGCAGCAGGGTGGGTGGGAATAGGAGCCAGAAGTTGGGCAGTAACAGGTGTGTACTGAGTCTCTGTGTATTCATCAAATACTCAGCACCCCTACTAAAAGGCAGACTCTGAATTGAGAGATGTCCTTATGGATGACCAGCAAAAAGAAGCTATAAAGTACTGGAGGAGAAACTTGCAGGCTCTCTGCACTGATCAGCAACATTAGCACTGGGACAAGAAATTAGGTTAAAAGTGCAGTTGCAGCCTTTGAGCCTGAAGGCTTTCATGTTGAGTTACTGTGAGAAGTATCTGCAGTTGACCTTTTTCTTTTAAAGTCATTGATTGGCTGGAGGAATGTAACACGACTGCTGGTGTTCTCCACGGATGCTGGGTTTCACTTTGCTGGAGATGGAAAACTTGGTGGTATTGTTTTGCCCAACGATGGACAATGTCACCTGGAAAACAATGTATATACAATGAGCCATTACTATGTAAGTATGTAAGTCCTCACCTAGTGAGTGAGTTTTGGTGGATTTTAGTGAGTAATACTGAGCATGTAGGAGACAGGGTTTGTAGCTGTCTTGTTTTGACAAGTATGAGGCTTGATGACAGGCAGGAGAGCTGTATTGCTTTTTGAAGCTCTGGTATTGTGCTGTTCTGTCTGGGTGGCAGGGATGTTGATAAGCAAGCAAGTGGTTCCTCATTTCCATACATCATTTGTCAGCATCACTGGTCATATTTCTAAATATGTAATTCAACTAGGTTTACCTTCTATATCATGACTTAAAAATATGCACTCTCCCTCTCACTGAAAGCAAGTGTAGACAAATCACTCATGGTCTAGAAGAAATCCAGTATTGGTAAATCTTAGTCTTCTAGGTAACAGGAGCCTTTAGTTCTGGTTCCATAATTTCACTCACATTTAAAATATGTAGTTTGTCTTGTAGTTAAAAACCTCTTAAGATGGGACTGGAGAGATGGCTCTACAGTTAAGAACAATGGCAGCTCTTTCAGAGGGCCCTGGGTTCAATACTCAGCACCCACGTGGCTGCTCAAACCTCTCTGTAACTCTAGTTCTAGGGCTTCTGATACCCTCACACAAATACACACACAGGCAAAACACCAGTAAACATAAAACAAAAATAAATTAAATAAAACCTATTAAAATATCAAAGTTCTTAAACATATGTAAAAGAGAGAAACTTAATATATACGTATAAATGTATTCTTTTAATCTATTTTACTTGTGTTCTTATACCTCTACCTCCCTTTCAACCCTTACTCATCCTAATCCCTTCCAACCCCCAACATTGGTTGGAGAGAAAGATTAGAAGGGGAGAAGGGCTGTAGACCTCTATAGACTACTTCCTGCTGCCTAGCAGGAAGGTTCCTTGGGGTAAGTCCAATCTTCATTGTCAGGATATCTCCAGCTTCTCGTCAGACTGCAACAACAGCAACCAGGAGCACCAGGAGGGAAGCAGCTTCTTCCTCCTCCTGCTTCTCCTCTTTTTCTTCTTCTTTCTTCTCCTTCTCGTTTGTGTCCCCATCCCTCTCTGGGCTTTGGCATTTAAGTTCCCAGAATTCCAAACATAACTATCCTCAGCTGGCATGAGACAATCATAGTTAATGGCTATAGACAATTTGAAGCAGCCCCATATCCCACAACTGGGATTAAAACAAAAATATATTCAGATAATATAACTGGGTTTTTAAAGAAACCAAAATTCTCACTACATACACATGACCCAGCTCAGCAGTTATTTGAGTTTGATATTCTTTCGTGTGAAAGGAGTCGTGTGTGAATGATCTTGTTATGAATGCTTATCAACTCAAATATTGTAATCTTAGCAGTTGGGAATAAGCCTGGGCTATAGTGTAAGACCCAAATAAAACAAAACTCAACATTGATTAAACATTGTATTTATATGCTAAATTGTATTATTTGGTTCCTTAGGATTATCCCTCAATTGCTCACCTTGTCCAGAAATTAAGTGAAAATAATATTCAGACGATTTTCGCAGTTACTGAAGAGTTTCAGCCTGTTTACAAGGTAAAAAGTATGAAAGTTCTAGGTTTTTCCTATTGGTTAATTATTAATAGCAGAATTATGTCTTTGAAATGTAGGAAAATGCCACCAGGTATCCATACTGAATTTGACAAACACATTTATGTTCATTTTAATTGCGTACTATTAGGATTGTTATCTTTTTTTTAGGTTTGACTTTGAAAGATACTTAGGAAATGAATAGAGACCTGAGGTGTCAAAATAATTTTACTTTTCAGTGGATTCTAATTGGTTGAGTAAATAATATTTATGTTTTACATGTTTAATTTCAGGAATTGAAGAATTTGATTCCTAAGTCAGCAGTGGGCACACTGTCTGGAAACTCTAGTAATGTGATCCAGCTGATCATTGATGCCTATAATGTGAGTGCACTTTAAATGGAGTCAGCTTCATGCCATGCCCTAAGTAAAACACCCTTTATAAACACACCAGCAAGCTGAAGGGAAAGTGCCAAATGTGAATTTAAATTTCATATCTAGAGGGAAAACTTTAATTTTTTTAGTCTTATGAAAGCATAATTTAAGCAAAGTAATAATTTTTAGATAAAGACATATGTATGTTTCCAGGCTCTTGTTTATGTATCATTAGGCTGTGTATCTTCTAGTTGGCATTTCGATGTATACATCTCTTCTTTTGGCATTTCGATGTATACATCTCTTCTTTTTCTTCCCCTAAGTCACCTTTATTCTTTAACCTTATTTTTATTTACTTGTTTGTTTATTTGTTTTTGAGACAAGATCTTTTTATATAGCCCTGACAATCTTGGAACTTACTATGTAGACCAAGCTGGCTTTGAACTCATAGAGATCTACCTGCCTCTGCCTTCCCAACTGCTGGGATGAAAGGCGTGTACCACCACCATGCCTGGCTAGATTACCTATTTTGGTGAATGATGCTTGACAAGGATTTTTTATTTTTCTCCTCTTTCAGAAGACAAACTGAAAGAACATGTTTTTGGTTTTCAGAAATATTTGTACACTCTCATATGTATGTACATACATAAGTGTATCATTTGGAAACTGAAATAACGATTCCCACCCTTTGGGAGCTTAAGTAAGAATGCCTGTTTTGATTGCTGGCAAGCTTCTTTTACAACTGATCCATTTTCCAGCCTTAGAAGTTTTTGAGACAGTACCATGTAGCCCAGGCTGCCTTGACATCTACAGATAGTCGAGGATCTGAACTTGTGATGTTCCTGCCTCCACCTTCTAGGTATGTTACATCATGCCTGGCTTTGAACCTCACATTGAAAAAAAAAAATTTTTTTTTAATACATGCCTAAAATCAGATTCTAAGACATTTTGGAAAGACTGACACAGAGGGGTTTGGCAAAGACAAGATTCTACTTATTTCACATCTTCACATTCTAGTCTCTGTCTTGAGAGATTGTTTTCCTCATTGCTATCCCTGTAGGGGTGTGAGTGAGGAGAGGTGGCTTGTCATTACAACCTCACTGTTCTGAGATGTCTTCTCTTTTAAATATACACTGCCTGGTCTCTTCTTTCTCCCCATGTTTTATTTTTTGTGAGTGCTAAGAACCAAGCCTAGGACCTCATGGTGCCAGGCACTGCTGTACCATTGAGCTAAGCTCTAGTTCTTTCAGCCTCCACAAGGGTGTTTAGGAGGTGGACAAGATGACAGTGGTACCACATAAATTTGATTACTCTGTTGCTCTGGTCTCTAGTTAGCTGGAAGGGAGTAGGCCAGAGGACAGTTAGAGATCACCATGCGACACTGGGGGCAGCAAGCATCTATTATGTGTTCTTAGGATTCCTCATAATCAGGCCTTTGTGGTATGAGATCATTAGCATTTTCTTGAATAATAAAAAAGAAATGCTTTTACATTGTACACATTATTTTGAATATTGGACTTTTAGAGTTGATTACTCTAGATTTTCTAACACTCTGTTGAATTGAAGAGTATTGAAATGATAGTGTTTTTATAATAGCTGTTTCATCTGTGTGTGTGTGTTCAAGTCATATTTTATTTTCCTGTTCATGATTAGCCTTTTTTTTAGTCCCTTTCTTCAGAAGTTATTTTGGAAAACAGCAAATTGCCAGAAGGAGTAACAATAAATTACAAATCCTACTGCAAGAATGGGGTGAATGGGACAGGAGAAAATGGACGAAAGTGTTCCAACATTTCTCTTGGAGATGAGGTATGTTGTGTGAGCATTTTTGTTTGTTTGTTTGTTTATAGGAAAAACGCATAAAAAAAGTAATTTTGGAGCTGGAGAGATGGCCCAGTGGTTAAAAGTGTTTAAGGCACAGAGCCACCTGTGACTCCAGTTCTCAGGGATCTGCTGCCTCTTCTGACCTCCATGGGCACTGCATGCACATAGCACACAGACGTGCAGAACACACTAAGTAGATAAATCTTAAAAAGTTAAATATAGTTTCTTAGATGAGAAACATTAAAAGACTAGCTTTTGAAATATTTTTATGTTCACTGCTAAGTTTGTTAATCTATTTTTTCCCTTTAAGGTTCAATTTGAAATCAGCATAACTGCAAATAAGTGTCCAAATAAGGAGTCTGAAACCATTAAAATTAAACCCCTGGGCTTCACTGAAGAAGTAGAGGTCATTCTTCAGTTCATCTGTAAGTGTGATTGCCAAAGTCACGGCATTCCAGCAAGTCCCAAGTGCCACGAGGGAAATGGAACATTTGAATGTGGAGCCTGCAGGTGAGTGGCACCTTGCTGCAGCAGGTCACAGATCCAGGCAGCTTCATCTGGAGCCCATAGAAAGTAAAAAGATACACCTTTGTGCCTCATGGACTTGAGGTTCTCTTTTCTTACAACTGCTCATACTCCACAGTGAAGCTTTTGGCTAGGTAAGCAGTGTATCTACAGTCTCTCATGGCTGCCTTTGAGCTTTGCTGTCCTAATGACACTCCCAGTTCTCTACAGCAAAACACATCTGGAAAAAAATAAGTAGATAGAAACATGTTTTATAAAAACTGTCAAACTCATAGGGGTGACTTTCTTTTTAAATTTTGTTTTACTTTGAGAAAGGGTCTTGTTTTGTAGCCTAGGATGACCCCAAGTTTATGATCTTACTGTCTCAGTATTTGGGTTGTAGGCAGAAGCCACTGCTCCCAGTGTTAATGACAAGTTTATCTGTGATTTAGCGAAAAAATGTTTATGTTGTGCTGCATTAATTTTGTATTGCTGGGATAAAGAGAAAACAGTATTTAACATTTACATTTATTTTTTGTCTTTGTATATATATGTGTTTGTGTGTGTGTGTGTGTGTGTGTGTGTGTACATGTATGTGTGTGTGTACCCTTGTGTCATGGCAGGCTCGTGGAGGTGAGGACAATTGCAGGAGTTTTGTTCTGTCTACCCCATGAATCCTAGGGTTTGAACTCAGGCTGTCAGGTTTGATGGCCAGTGCCTTTACACCTTGAGCCATCTCACCAACCCCCTTGGCTACTTTTAAATTAAAAATTAAACTATAGTCATAATACAGCCTTTTAAAATAAAAATAATAGAACTTTTAAATATAAATGCCAGTACAACATCACTGTGGTTTTGATTATTGGACCAAAGGAAAATGAATATCTATGTTTACCATAAAAAAAAAAAAAAAAAAAAAAATTTCCCCAAGACAGGGTTTCTCTTATGTAGCCTTGGTTGTCCTGGACTCACTTTGTAGACCAGGCTGGTCTCGAACTCACAGAGATCCACCTGCCTCTGCCTCCCTGAGTGCTGGAATTACAGGAATATGTCACCACACTGACTTTACCATCATTTTTTAATTGCCCATTTAATTTAAGTAATTATTAAATTTAAGTAATTTAAATTTAAGTAATAATTTAAATACTGTATTTTTTCTGTGTTGTGCTTATCTTGTTTGAGGCATTAAGTTTTGTTTTTGTTTGTTTGTTTGTTTTTTTAGTAAAATGGCATTTTTCCAAAAAGATTTTCTTGAAAATATTTTGCCTTTTATTTAGCATATGCAAAATCACTTTATCCAGTGTCCACGAACATAAATGTTCCAAGATATGTGGGTTATCTGAGAAGTCTGCACCTGCGCAGTAAATTTACTCTTACCTAAGGCTGGTACTTTTTTTCAGCTTATGTACTCAATATAGTTTTCAACGTTTAAGATTGCATTCACTGCTATTTTTTATGTTAACAGTTGCTTTAAACTTTATGGTAGATAGTCTGTAACACTAATCTAATAGCATATATTTGAGAATCTAGCCTGACAAAGTGACACATGCCTTTAATCCCCCAGAAGGCAGGGGCAGCCAGATCTCTGAGTTCAGAGTATTCTGGTCTATGAGACTATCTTATTTTTCTGAAAAATGAGTTTATTTTTCCAGATATTTTGTTTGTTTGTTGCTGGAGTATGTTTTCATTTTGGTCAGAATGGTTCTTTGCCACAGATGAATTTCCCAGAGGCCCCTGTGTGTTCCATCAAAACTTGAGTTGCTATTGCATGCTGTATGTGTGTGTGTGTGTGTAAACGCAGGGTACTTTTCTCATGTCTGCATGTGTGGAGTGGGCATCCTTACCTGGTACTTCGCTAATGTGAAGATTTGTTTTTTGTGACTGTGTTTGGATCTTTTCAAAGGTGTAATGAGGGGCGTGTTGGGAGGCACTGTGAATGCAGCACAGACGAAGTGAACAGTGAAGACATGGATGCTTACTGCAGGAAAGAGAATAGCTCAGAAATCTGCAGTAACAATGGAGAATGTGTCTGTGGACAATGTGTGTGTAGGAAGAGAGATAACACAAATGAAATTTACTCTGGCAAATTCTGCGAGTGTGATAACTTCAACTGTGATCGGTCCAACGGCCTAATTTGTGGAGGTGAGTAAGCAGCAGCAGTAGCTATATGGTACAGATTCTCTGCTGAGGTCAGATACCAGAAGAATCACTGGTGAATGCAGAAAGGGCAGCATGTAGGGTAGGCTTTCCATTAGCTCTGCTTTCTTCCATGTTGTGGCTTGGTTTTAGTTTGTGAATGACTGCTGTGATGATACCTTTTACTGTTATTTTGAGAAATGATGTTTTTCATTGCAGGAAATGGTATCTGCAGGTGCCGTGTCTGTGAATGCTTTCCCAATTATACCGGCAGTGCATGTGACTGTTCTTTGGACACTACTCCATGCATAGCGTCAAATGGTCAGATCTGCAATGGCCGGGGCGTCTGTGAGTGTGGTGCTTGTAAGTGCACAGATCCCAAGTTTCAAGGGCCAACCTGTGAGACGTGTCAGACCTGCCTTGGTGTCTGTGCGGAGCATAAGTAAGTGCTGCCTGCGTGCTTCACACAGCCACACTCATTTAGCTGACTCCAGTATCTTCTGTTATAACCACCAGAGCCAGAGGAGAGTGCTGGCACATTATACTTCAAAGAGAATATTTGCCACTTCTTATGTAGCCCATTATTTTATGTCCTAAAATTCTTAATGGTGAATATGTATTGTGTAACACTGAAGTATGTCATGAGAATTGTGTTGTTTTTTTTTTAATCTGAAGTCATAGTATGGTGAGTCTGTGCTGTTACCTTTTTTAATTGACACTACTTTTCTTTGTTTTTAAGCTTTAGTGGTAGTGATAGAGCTCTGAGCACTATTACAGAGGAGTACTCTATTCTAGTTGCTATCCTTTGCCTCAGGAGAATGGAAGGTTTTTGTTTTTTTTTCCCCCCCCCTTGGTAAATTATTACACCAAAATACATTGCATAAGTTACTGTGGTTTTGTGTTACACTACCTATATCTAAATTTTGTGTTGTGGAGGTGTATATATATCACGTGTATGCCTGGAGCTCAGACAACTTTGGGTTGTTGTTTCTCAGGAGCCTTCTACCTTAATTTACCACAGGGGTTTTCATTGACCTGGAACTTTGCCAAATAGGCTAGGACAGAAATCTACCTGTCTCTGTCTTCTACCACTGGGATTACAAACATGTGCCTTCATGCCTGGTCTTTTCCATGGGTTCTAAGTGATCTGAATTCAGGTCTTCATGCTTGTGAAGCAGACACTTTACTAGCTGAGCCATCTCCTCAGCCCCACCTTTATTTCTTTATAGTGATTTAATTTTCAATTTTAGAGACCTATCAATGGGAAATTTATTTTCAAGAAAAACCCAAGTGTTAGCATTGACTAGGAAAATGTATCTGGTTTATGTAAAATTGTTATAAATTTGAACTGCTAAAGTTTGTTCACTGAAACCTTTTGAATTGTATTGTTTTTATAAAATCCACACACAGTTTAGAATGAAAGACGTTGCTATTGAACCTAGGCTGACCTTGAACTTGAAATCCTTATGCCTCATCATACCCAAGCTAGGACTGCATATGTGGCCATCACCAAGGGCTCAGACTAGATTTTTATGCATGTTTCCCCAGGTCGGCAGTGTGCTAGCTGGTGGCCTTGAACATATCCATCACAGGTTTGTCATGGATATGTTGGTGTCTTATAAACCAAGATCCACTATGTAGGCCTAACTGGCACCTCTGCAGCACCCATAGCTATGCTGTGGATGTCAGGTCTGTACTGGAGGCTGAGCAGTTTCCCATAGCTGACTAGAAAGTAAGGTTTGTGAATCAGATGTTAGGTGAAACCTTGATAAGGCCTGGTGAGGGCACATGCTTGCTGGCAGCGTTTATAGCTTCCTGGGTGCTTTGCCAGCATTGGTCTTGGTTCAAGATGTAACTGGAGAACTCCTTACTAACTCCATTACTCTTTGACTGCATCTTTGCTAGTCAGGGTGTTGCTGGACTTAGTGGCAGTGGCTTGGCCGAGGCTCCTGGAAACTGGGATCTTTTGTGGAATATACTGCCTTTCTATTCCCTCTGAGTTTATATTGCCCTTAGATCAGTATGGCCATTAGTTTAACACATGAAGTATTATAAGCAAACTTCATTTTAACACATGCCAAGTGTAATGATTTCTGTCTTAGAGAATGTGTTCAGTGCAGAGCCTTCAATAAAGGAGAAAAGAAGGATACATGTGCGCAGGAGTGCTCCCACTTCAACCTCACCAAGGTAGAAAGCAGGGACAAGTTGCCCCAGCCTGTGCAGGTGGATCCTGTGACCCACTGCAAGGAGAAGGACATCGACGACTGCTGGTTCTATTTCACCTACTCCGTTAATGGCAACAATGAAGCCATCGTTCATGTGGTGGAGACTCCAGGTAAAAGCTGGGAGGTGCCTAGACATTGTTTCATTGATGCCTTGTTTCTGCTCTGGGTTATTTCTGGGGCTCAGAAACAGCCTGGATTCTTATTTAGGTTTATGTTTTTCTTCCCAAAGCTTAAAGTAGAATTTGGCTTTATTTATTTATTCAACTAAGGAAGAGAGAAATCAAGTTTCCTTAGTAAAGAATTTCAAGGTTAAATGCAATAATCTGCCCATAGATGGAACCTGAGCAGTATTGTTGGTGATATCTAAATCTGAGCGTGTTCCAGCTTTAGTAACCAGAAGAGGATCTTCTAGAAGATACTACTAACGTCGAATTTGTTCAACTTCCCAGAAATTAGGCACATTTTACCTTCTTTTTCTAGTAGCCTTTGAAGATTCTTTGTCATTCTCTATATTTAGTGCCTAGGTTTTTTGATGTAAACATATTCTAGAGTATTGGTAAGCATATGTTTGTTACAAGAAACCATCCAACTTTTTAGTTTTTACTTTTTTTTTTACAAAGAAGCATATGTAGAGAAGAGCATGTGTGCTCTTCTGCCAGCCTGTTTGTTTCTTTCCTGCCATGTGTTTTCTGAAAGTCAAACACAAGTGGCCAGACTTGTCAAGCCTTGTCAGCAAGCGCCTTTCCCCACTGAGCCATCTTTTGTTCTCTGCACTGCTCTGCAGCACCCAACAAAACTCTGTGAATACTGTCATGTGTGCCTCTGTATCTTTTCATTGTCTTTGAACACAGGGACTTTGTCGCTGTTTTTGTAGTGAATCCAGGGTGTTGCTATACATAATGGCTTGCTGATTTATTTCTACATTGTTCATGACAATACTTTAACTGATGTGTGTGTTGGGTGGGGGGGGCATTGTATATGTGCTATGATTTGGTGCCAGGCACCTTTATTTGTAGGCCTAATTCATGTATGTAGGGTATTTCTCCAGTTACCCAAGTCTTTTTATTTGGTTTTAGGACACTCTTGCCATGTTGCTCTTGGCTGGCCTGGAACTAACAACACAGACCAGGCTAACTTTGAAGTTGTGACAATCTTGCAGCTTCTGCCACATGAGTGCAAGCCTATGCTACCTGGTTGCCAGTCATCTTCAGTGGCTTTTACATTGCTTAGTACTTTATAATCTTGAACATAATATTCTTTTAAAAATTTTTTATTATTATCATTTATTACAATTTATTCAATTTGTATCCCAGCTGTGGCCCCCTCCATCATCTCCTCCCAAACCCACCCTCCCTCCCTCTTTTCTCCTTATGCTCCTCCTCTAGTCCATGGATAGGGGAGGTCCTATTCCCTTTCTAGCTGACCTTAGCTTATCAGGTCTCATCAGGATTAGTTGCATTGCTTTCCTCTGTGGCCTGGCAAGGCTGCACCCCCCCCCCCCAGCATAATATTCTTAATTACATATAAACTTTTCATTATTTTTTTGATGGTCTTATAATTTTTTTAAAATTAGTCTTTAGGAAAAGAAATATTCTGTAACCTCCAAATAAATGCAGTCTTGTAAGCTTCCTTGATAGAACCTAGTAGTTTTGTGTGTATGTTTGTTTGTTTGAGACAGGGTCTTACTATGTAGTCTTGTCTGGCCTAGAACTCACTATGTAGTTCAAGATGGCCTAAAACTTATAAAGGTCTGTCTCTTGAGAGTAAAGGTATGTACCACCGTTCTATGGCCTAGAACCTAGTAGCTTTTAAATAGGTTTTGGGGATAGTATGCAGTCTCTTGAGTTTTTAGTACTATTAATTTTATAAGATCCCATCCAGCTCTTTGTGGTCATGTGAACTTTGTGAACAGTCTTTCTATGCTCACAGTTAACCCTTTCATTTGTAGACTGTCCTACTGGTCCTGACATCATCCCAATTGTAGCAGGTGTGGTTGCTGGGATTGTTCTTATTGGCCTTGCCTTGTTGCTGATTTGGAAGCTTTTAATGATAATTCACGACAGAAGGGAATTTGCTAAATTTGAAAAGGAGAAAATGAATGCCAAGTGGGACACGGTAAGTTATGAAACATCTACTGAGAAGTAGGTTAATTCCCAAAGTAAATGTAACTTATTAAGGGTGAGGCTGACCTTTAAAGTCCTCTTTAAATATTTCATTTCCCCAAAGTTCATTATTCAAAGAATTTGCATTTGCTGAAAACTAGAAGCATTCTATTGTAGTAAAAACTTTATGAGGATATATATTCTGTGTATATAGTGGCCAGTGTTTTTAATTCTTTAATAGGTCTGATTCTAAATATGTTCCTCTGCTCACTTGTCTAATGTAAAATAGAATCTTAAATGATATCACCAATGTCTCAGGCTACACTATAGAAAGATCCCTTTCCCCATCTCTCCCCATCCATCCATTATGATTCTCTTTATATTACTTTTGGGAAATACACATAAATCAATGGTTCTGAGGCTATAATGAAGGGCTGAAGGTGGGGTTACAAGGGATTTTCTTGGGATGAGATCTATAATAAGGTGTGTTTGTGTATTTAGAAATACTTAAGGTGTATTTTATCCTCTTCAGATTGCATATCTGTAAAGCTTACTTAATAGAAACACAGGCTTGACTGGTGTGTACCATTCAGTGCTTTCAGAATGGAGTCAGGTGGTTGGCTAAAAATTGGCCCTTAAAGAAAAAGATACACATTTTGACACAAGAAAGAGTTGATGTCTTCATGTAGTATTCTTAAATTGTGAATACTAGTAATCATGTGTCTTTCACTGTAGTTCGGTTGGGGTTTTTATTAAAATTTAGAAATTTCAGAAGTATAGAAATAACATTCCATCTATAGTGTTAATACACTATACACACCAATTTTCTTTCTGATGAAATCACTAGAAACTATTTCTTTCACTTTAGCAAGAAAACCCGATTTACAAGAGTCCTATTAATAATTTCAAGAACCCAAATTATGGACGTAAAGCTGGTCTCTGAATTGCCGTTCGTATTTCCTTTTACTTTCCTTGCATGTGAACTTCTTTTTTTTTACTGCACCATATGTGTCTCTCACCCCTGTTGCTCTTTTTGTTTGGCTTCTTTATATGGCTATCTGTGGCTTCTCTCATATGTTAGCTTAGTGCTTGGGAGGACTTTACAAAATAAGGCATAGAAGGACCCCATGTGTTGGTAGAGAGAAGAGAATGCTTTGCAGTCAGGCAGCGCCAGTCAGCCCCAGCCCTTCTGCTTAGTAAGTACAGCAGTATGAGCTCTGTCACCTTTCTGAGGCTCCTCTTCGATCTTCAGCAGGGAGGGTGTTAACTGACAGATGGGCTACATTCTCTGATGCAGTCCTGTTCTAGAAGGTGGTGTAACATAATGAATTACCTCCTGAATTGAATAGTGAAACTGAGTGTGAAATCAAAATGGCAAACCAAGGGTAAATGACCATAGTATAGTTTGTTTTGTTCACAATTACAATTCATATTACCCATTCTAGAAAGATTTTGAAACTTTTTAGTTCTTGTTTATTTCATGGAGAAACAGAATGTTTTTGTGTGTTTCTTACCAGTTATTAAATAAATGGTTCTGACTTTTGAATTTAAAACTGAAAGTTTTTGTTGGTTGTTTTTTGATTGAGACAAGGTGTAACTCTGTAGCCCTGGCTCTCTTGGAACTTTCTGTGTAGATCATGTTAGTATCAGGCTAGCCTTGAACTAAATAAAAGAGATCCACCTGTTTTTGCCTCTCTTAAAACTCCCATGAAAAAGGCTGATTACATTTAGCACCAAATTCTTTTCTTGTGGATTAGATAAGAGCCTGGGAGGATTCATGTTCTCTCATTTTCACTTTCTGTCGACAGAGATGATGTTGGTACTAGCTACAGGGTCCTCCTGTGTTTCAGGATGGTTCTCAATACCCTATTATTGTTTGTTAGTTGTGAGAATAGTAGTAACTCTCTTTATTTTTGTTCCATAGAAGAGATCCAAAAGCCAAGTTCACACATCTAGTTAGGAGATTCAAAAGTCTAGACTGTGGCCTGTGTCCCTGTCCTTTGCTCTGCACCAGTTATTAGTTTAGTAACCACATTCTTTAGGGGGAGAGTTCTTAGGAAGATATAGAACACTTTACAGAGTGGTCCATTTTGACACTGTATTGTGACTTGGGTTAAGGCAGTTGGTTGGGCAAACAAAATGGCAGAATTACTTTCCTACACAGAAGGTGATTACTTTGTCAGTGGACTTGGAAAGCAAAATTGAAGGGCTACAGGAAGTATTGTAGGAGGGCTTAAGTTTCATCTCCACCCTTATAATGACTTAATGAATCAGTCAGCTAATAAATGGACTTGCAGAAAGCCGCAAGGAAGGAAATGTTTTGTATTTTTAAGGGACATAGGAAGTAGCAATAATTTCTGGAAATCATGACTTGCTGGATCTTTTTTTACCGCTCAGAAGGTTTTATTTAAGGGCTAGTAGAAAATTATTGTTGAGAAAATTATTGAAAAAAATTGTTAAGCTCATGTATGTTTGAAATCTGATATCTTTTATGCTTACCTGATATTTTACAAAAATTAATTTTTGTAGGAAAACTGATTAGTTAGTGAAATTACTGGGGCTTTATTTGTGTTCACAAAGAAATCAATCAGGTATTAACAGTTTCATATAATTTCTTCTCACAGAATTTTCCACTTATTCTATGAGGTGAATTAACTGCCCTTCCTATACATTTAATGGCACTTTGAGTAAATGATCAATAGTTACTATTTATAATTAATGTTTATATTCTTGATTTAATTTTTAGCTGTAGTAGACTTTCTTCAGCTAGAATAAGCATTTCATACAATTAAAAAAGCATACAATTAAAAAAGTTCTTAAATTTTATGTGTTATTAAAATCTAAGAAAATTTATGGCTATAGATTATCCTAAAATGTTTTCTTAATAAGCATTTTAGTAGAAATTAACAATAAAATTCATGTGGGTCAATAAAATAATATAAAACCTTTTTTTTCCTTTTGTCTGTGTGTGTGCTATGGGAGCAAGACTTCCCACCAATAAATTATACCATTGGCAGACACTGTAATTATGTGAACATATAAGACTACTGTGTTGGGACACTGAAAAAATTATCAGGTCTGTCCTTCCCTACAGTGAATTACAAACCTCCCAGTTTGCATTGCATATCATGTGCTTAAGCAATTTACAGTCTCCTGTGTCATAGTGATCCAGGAGGGACTCACTCGCTTCATATGCAAATTTGCTTTGGCTTCTTGGGGCAGGGGTGTACTTTAGCTTACTTCCATTTAAACTGATACCTAAATACACATAGTGAGTTTAATTTTATCTCTAACTTGCATGTTAAATTTTTGTTTGATTGGATTTTAAATAATATAATTGTTTGTTTGTGTGACAAAATAAATTTTTCTAAAGGTAAGTTTTTTCCATATTAATTCTACTTTAGACTCCATGACAATAAACTGATACAAATTATTGAACTTTTTATGTATTTTGCTTTCTCTTTTGTTCCCTTATAGTTCTTAAGCACTAAATATTAGATTTTGTTAAGTACATTAGCTTAAAGACAATCAAATAGTAGTTTAATAGCCTAATATATTTGAAAACGCAGGCAGGTCTAGCATTCACACCCAGGAAGATGGAAACAGCGAGCTTTTAAGAAGGCAGCCTCTTACCCAAAGGAGGCATGCTGTAAAGTACTGTGCTTGCTCTGAACAACCAGTGAGCTGAGAGCTTGAGATTCTGAGCACTTTTGTTAGTTTAATAGGTTGCTTGTTTGCAGGATCTTGTTACTAGTTACTTTTTCTGTTACTCCCAGGAGAACAGGTTTACTCTGGTTCACAATTAGAGGGTTCAGTTTGTCATAGTGGAGAAGTCAGCAGTTGGAGCTTGGGGCAGCTGGTCAAATTGCATCACAAATTTGACAAATGCTGGGTCTCAGCTCTCTTTCTCTTTTTATGAAGTATTCAGTATCAGGAAATGATTCTACCCACAGTGAGCATCCCACCTCAGTTACCTTAAGATAATTCCCCACAGACATGGCCAGAGGCCTGTTTCCCACATGATTTTACAGTTGAGGTTAGCCATCTGTTCTGGTTTGCGCTCTGTTGCTATGATAATACCATGACCAAAAGCACCGTGGGAAAACAAAAGGGTGTATTTGGCTTACTGATGATCAAGGGAATCTACAGCAGGGACTCAGGGCAGGGACTGAAGCAGAGACCACCAGAGAAATTCTTACTGCTATATACTAGCATACTTTCCCTGGCTTGCTCAGGTACCTTTCTTATACAGCCCAGGCCTGCCTGCCCAGAGTGTCACCATCATGCAGGCCAGGCTCTCCTGAACTAAATAGCAGTTAAGAAAATGCCCCAGAGACATGCCCACAGGCCAGTATGATGGAGGCAATTCCTTAACTAAGGTTCTCTCTTCCAAGGAGACCTTAGTTTGTGTCAAGTTGACAGAAACTAACCAGCACACCAGCACTGACCCTCCATTCACAGAAAAGTTATGTGAGTGATCAGATGTGATCTTTGTTCTGATTGGCATTCACAAAGCTCCTGCCATGTTGGTAGATGCTGACCTCGCCCTCAGGGCTGAGCCCATATTACCTTCCTCTTGTCTCTGTTCCATTCCCAGCACCTCAGAACATATTTTAAATTTTAAATGAACTGTATGTATCTCTACCCTAGACATGGCACAGCTCCTTCCCTGGGAGCAAAGCCAGCCACCCCATAAATAAGCACTCCTATGCATTAAAGTGTGTGAATCGGGTTGTCAGTGCTTCCTTAGGTTGGTACCAGATCTTCAGAGGAGCCTCTGATGGCAGCTGTACAGGCTGTGTGCGGAGGCTGTTTGTGAGGCAGCCCTCCAGGGACAATGTACTGGGGTCAGGAGCACAACACTCCGGTAGCCTGAGACTCCTCAGACATTATCTTTGCTTTCTAAACACTGACACTGGACATTGGAAGTAACTTCTTAAGACAATTGCCGCTTTTAATCTTGCTTTAGAACACTGATTTTAGAGAGTAACTGGTAATTTTTGTTTGTTTTAGGGTGAAAATCCTATTTACAAGAGTGCTGTGACAACTGTGGTCAATCCGAAGTATGAGGGAAAATGAGTCCTACTCAGGCCGATTTTACAACACCAAGTTCACAGCAGCAGTGTGGTAGTCACAGTAGGGTAGCTTTGGGGCTCTATGGCTAGGGGTTTATTCACATGCAGGTTTGAAAAATGTACAATATGTATATTTTTAATTTTTTTATTATTTGGAAAATAATGTTATAATCCATGCCTGGGACTGAAGACTTGAGAAAGGATCATTACCCTTGTCAGCTGAGGTCACAGTGTGCCTTTTTAACCCTTCCTCCTGGACTGTTGGAATCACTGCTAGAGCAAATGCAAGGCAAAGTTGAAGCAACAGCATCACAAGCATCTACACCACTACTGACTGATTCTCAGCCTTCCAGGAGCAGCCAGGGCTAGTTACACAGAATCAAAGGACAGTCCTGCTGGTGGCTCTGGGCGTGGTTCAGCCTACTGGCTGCACACTGGTAGACTTGATGATGCCTATGAAAGACAGTGTGTTGACAGTTTCCAATTAAAGTAATTCTCACACAGGGAGGTGGGAAGGAAAAACTTAGCTTTAAAACCTGTGTGCCATTGTGAGTTACTTGATCCTGTAACTCTGACACCTTCTCTTTATAAATCCAACCTTGGATAAAAGTGCTGAGAACTATTCACATAAAGGCCATAATTTTCATAGCATTTGCTGAGTGGGGACTTTGGGGATTAAATTTATTTTACTTTATTGTTTTTGTTTAATTCCTGGTGCTTTTTTATCACCTTCTTTAATCTTTTAATGTATGTATTTGCAACTAGGGGGTAAAGCTTTTTATCATTACCTTTTCTTTTACTTGGATGTACATTTGCTTTTTTCACAAACACTGTAAGCTGTCCTGCTTGTGGGATTGCAGGGCCTGGGCAGGTCCCCACCCCCCCCAACAGCGATTCAACCACTGTGCACCATCCGCACGTGCCTTCCCTGCTGTGCTTACTCTGTTTTACACTAGTCACAATCTTGTTTTAAGTGCCTTTTAATTTTGACAATGCTATTAACTGAAGTTATTTATTAAAATAAAAAGGCCTAAAATACATAAGTTGTTTGTTTTTGCTCTATATTTTTGTGAGTTTTGTGCATGTAATTTTTATGTGTTAAAGATACTGAGGAGAAACGTCTCAATCCACAATAAGCCAAAGTGATTCATTTTAGACATGTGGGAAATGGGCAGTAGAATAGACTGCAGTTCATTTCCCCGAGTGAAGAGCTACCATCTTAGACTACTGGATGCTGGAGAGCTGATATTTAAGAGAGGGGTGGGATTTTCTTCTTAGAACTACAGAAAACTTACTTTCATTAGGTGATAAAGGTACTTGCTGCCTAACCTGATGATCTTCTCTTGATTCCTAGGACCCACATGGTAGAAAGAGAGAACTGAATTCTGTAAGTTGTCCTCTGTCTCATGCCTGTGCTCATGCACAATGGGTACCCACACATGCACACATTAAATAGATAAAAAGCTTCTAACTCACTGGATATTTATGCTAATTGATATTCTTTTATTTCTCTTAAATGTCTTCTAGTTTTAGCTAAAACAAATTTGATGGTAGAATTTACATTTTTGCAAATTTGTTAGATCCATGAGAAAAGTCTTTATCTTGATTATGTCTTGCCTTGTATCACATTAATGGACCCTGTTTCCTGCTGTTTATGTCCCTGCTTAATCTAGCTAATTTTCTTATGATTTTATATAATAACTTAGATTTTTCACCAAACCTACTTTATTTAGGGTTCTTAAGTACATTTACTTGCCTTCCATCTCCCCCCCACCCCCGCAACTTTAAGTAGGAGATTAGTAGGGAAAGGGCTTTTATCTACAACCTGTTGATCAGGGTTGACAATTTGTTGGGAGATTTCCAGACTCAGTCATCAGGATACCAGCAGTCCAGTCCAAAGGCCAACATGGATTAGCAGTACGAAGTCAGCAAAAGCCTCAAGACCTGGTTGGATTGGCCGGAGAAGCTCTCTGAACGTTTCTCTCTGTGAAGTCGTGTTGAAGCATGAAGACCAGCACAGTGATGTCTATCCAAAAAGCGGTGTCTCTCTCTGCCTTGGCCTTTGTATATGTCCTCTCCTCAAAGTCCATCCATGGATGTTCTTAGCTGGTCACAGTCATGTCCCTTGCATGTGAGGGATCATAGCAAAACATCTCATGCCCTCTCACAAGCCAACGTGGTCAAAACATCACACGACAAAATTCAGTCTTCAAAGAAACCAGAAATTTTCATTTCAGCTGTGATTATACTTTTTTTTTTTTTTTTTTTTTTTTCTAGAATGGACCACTTACTTCCTACTGTAAGAATGAAGTCTGTTTTCTACTGCCTTCTCCCCATGTTGGTCTTTAGGATAAAATGATGACTTTTACACTTTGTATTACATCTAATAGAAACAAATAAACATTTTTTGACTGCAGAGATCTGTTTATTAGAAGCTGGATGGATAGTTTATTTCTTAGGATTGTATGCAAGGATATTGACATTTATATTTGGGTTTGAAATAGACAAAATATAATCTGAGATTTAGTTACATATTTTATACACACACATTGAGATTCTGTAAAGATTCTTAGAACACACAGAACTTTGGCAGTAAGATAAATTTTATTTTTCCAGCAATAACCATTTTTAAGTATTGATCTAAAATTTTAGAAAAATTACAAAATAGTAAAGCTCAGCAGTGTATTCAACAGTTTGCTCACATCTTGAAATTTTTTGCTATTTTTTTGCTAAGTATTACTTTACGAATCTCCTTGAGATAGGAGGTCAGGTGACAGCTCATACCTGTATAGTGAGACCAATACAGTGGGATGGGCCTGGACTAGGCTCTAGACTGTTCCCAGTTTGCACCATGTGGGAGCACTCTGGCTCCCCAGTACAATCCACCAATGGCTCTGGCTCTTCACATTCCTCACATTCTCATCCAGAGGCGTCAGTTACACTTTCTCTGCCTAACTTGTTTTATAGTGGGGACACATCAGTGAGATGGCTGTGATTTGCTGGTGCTTTTCAAAACTAACATTTTGACTACTGTTCGGTGACATGAGACTTTAGATATGATAACTGATGTGAATAACTTAGGAGGAGAGGAATAAATAATAAAGACTTCTGTGGGACCATAATGACCCAGGGCTACAAAGGGTCCAGGAAGCTTTAACCTTTGAAACCTCCAACACGAGGATTGCAGGAGTTGGCTACCTCCCCTTTCCTGTCCTGGCAACACAGCTGGTTCCCTTACCATCAAGAATTTATCCAGCTTCACTCCTTGTTTGACCTTAAGGTACTCTGTCCCCTGCCTCCAACACATACCCTGCAGCCCATGAGTATGAAGATGGAGCACCTTCCCTGCACTGGCCAATGGTACACTGTCACACAAACCTTGCCCAGAGACTCCTCCCCAGGGGCATAAATACAACCCTCCCCCTCACCCCCAGTAAACAACCAGTTCTCTGTAGCTGTTTCTAGGCCTCTGTTCTTTGCCCTCACACTCACTTGTAATAAATAAAAAATGTTGGGCTATATAATGTTTATGATTAGCCCTAATATTGTCAGGGTGATATTATCTAACCTGCTATCACAAATAATACACCTTTTAGATTTATAATTGCCTTATTTACCTTGGGCCAGACAGGTATTTTCCTTACACTGTCTCAGTATCCTCACCATCCATGTTCCAGGCCCCATCCAATGCCATCGGCCTTAATTCTCATCTGGTCTGCCTTCCATACATAATCGCATAGTACTTGCTTTTATTCTTCTTCTGGGCCTCTCCACACCATCATTGGAGCCCTTTGTTTTGGCCCACAAGGTTTCTTCTCCACACTAATGTGTTGTGGCATTCTCTTCCCTCCTCTCTTCCTGTCTGTTTCCTGTGATTCTCTCTTGAACCCAAAAGCCCAGGAACCTTAGCCACGCCTACCCCATTCTGCCCTGCCCAGGTACAGGCTCTTTAATCAACCAATCCGGTATGCCTTAAGCAGGTTTACAAAACAAGGATAGCTGTAACCAGTCCTGAGGCATCAGACATGCATCAGACCAACTTCTAACACTCACTGTGCTCCTGCATTGTCACTTATTTGCCCAACTGAGCCTCACTCCTTTTAGCCCAGCCTTGTATGCAATGGGCTACCCTGTGGACATGAATGAGGCTGCAGACTTTGTTTTGGCTATGGTTTTAGCTTTTTCCCTCTTGCCTCAGCAATTCTCTGTTTCGGTATTCAGCCAAGAGAAATGAAAACTTGTATCCACAAAAAAATGTATTTAAAAGCTCAAGAGATAGCTCAGTGGGTAAGGGCTTGTCATAAAGCAGGAGAACATAAATTTTATCCTCAGCATCCACTTAAAAAAGCTAGACATGTTGGTATACATGTGGAATTCCAGTACTGGGGAAGCAGAGACAGAATCTTCAGAGCCTTTCCTGATTTGTGAGATTGGGGACAGTAACAGACTCAAAAGTACAAGGTAAGTGGTTCTCGGGGAATGACAGGCAAATGTGGCCATACGCAGCACATGGACACATGCACAGAAAGAGTTGTTCTACTTACTAATGTTTGTAGCAAGTTTGTTCATATTGGCCAGTGACTGAGAACAATACAAATGCTAAAAAGCAGGAAGTAGCCAAAGAGAACTATGCCTCCTCTCCCCACTAACCTTTCCTACCTGGTGTTGGGATGTTGGAAGGGATGGGGTGCAGAAGGGGGAAGGAGGTAAAAAACCCAAATAAAACAGAGTTTAAAAAATAGCACCAACAATTTGCCTCATACTGGACATGTACATGAAAGCTTGCTTATTTTCTTTAGGTCAGATTACGTATTTGTATGTCAGTGCTCACCTTAGTTGAGCCTTCTTCTATCTTTTAATGTCATAAACACCCTAAAATTTCTTTCTTTAAGGCCTGCAAAGATGGCTACCAAAGGTGCTCAGTTTTCAGCACCCTTATGGTGCCTCACAACCACCAGTAAGGAATCCACGTCCAAAGAAAACGATGTCCTCTTCTGACCTCTGTGGACACCGGGCATAAACATATGTACAGGCAAAACATAACAGAAAATACATCTAAAAAATTGTTTTGGAGAAAATTTTAAAATCTTTCTTTAATTCTTCTTTTCCTTATACTATAGCAAAAAAAAAAAAAAAAAAAAAAAAAAAAAAAAAAAAAAAAAAAAAAAACAAAAACAAAAACACTGATTATATCCTAGACAATCAGACTGTTTCTCATTTAAATCCCATCCACCATTTCTGCTTATATGTTTTTACTTATTTGGGCTGATAAATACAAGAGACACAATCCAACAATGGACTTAAACAACAACACCTATTTATGGAAAAACATAACACCTGTCCATTCAAAAACTGACCACAAATGGGAATTATCCCTCTATGGTAGATGTGTTTCATGAGGTCAAATTTATCTGGGACACAGGTAAATTTCCCTTTTATACAAAAATGAAAGGAGCTCTAGCCCAAAATTATAAACGTGTCTACTTGCCAGGTATAGTGGCACATGATAGAGGTGGGTGGATCACTGTGAGTTCAAGGCCAGCCTATTTCTATATAGGGAGACACTGTCACAAAACAACAAAACCCCACCACAGCAACAACTTGTCTGCCAATTTCTGCCTGTTTTTCTAGCAAGAACTCCAAAGCTATATAATCATTCCCTTGGGATTATCCTCAATGGCATTATACCATTGTCTAATGCTTTACCCCACACTTTCCTTGAACCTACCTTAGAAATTGTTTAAATGTCAAGTATATCCTTTAGGAAGCTGATAAAATAAAACTTGAGCCTTGAAGACACTCCTGATGATGCCTATTCTGTCTTTAATGCTTTTATTTATTCTATACCATCTTCTCAATAAACTTATACAGTTAATTCCTTCCAAAATATAATAAATCTAACTTCAAATGGTTCTACAAGTAGACAGTGATTCAGGATTCAGCAGGCAGTATGGCAAAGTTCTTAAAAGTAAGATTGCAAAGCAAAGTGTCTACTCTGAAGTTTGTAAGGGAAAAGGGAGGTCTTGCACCACAAGGAAGCAGT